CGGGGGCTCGGGTCTGGGCCGGCGCCGCAGCGGCCCGGGCTGGGGGACCAGGCGAGTCCGCTGAACAAGGCCGAGGCTCGGGGGTCCAGACCCGGGCGCGAAGGCCTCAGCTCCGCGCGTGACAACTCCCCGGGCCTAATTAGGACTCCACAAGGGAGTGGGGGGCGGGGTCCGGCACCTCTGCGTGGCCTCGGCAAACTGCGCCCGCTGGAAGTCGGCCGCCAACCGCCGGATCTCTTCCCAAGCGTCCGCCATCGCCGCTGGGACAGCAACACGTCAGCTCCCGGCCTCCAGGAGGCGAGAGGGCGACGGAACGCGCAGAGGGACAAAAGACCACGCCCCGGACGCTGGGACCAAACGCGCGCGCCCCCTCCCGCAGGGGCGGGGCCGGAGGAGCCCCAGGCCCGCCCTCCAACTGGGCGAGCCTGTGTGAGTGTGCGTGTGTGCGTGTGTGTGTGTGTGTGTGTGTGTGTGTGTGTGTGTGCGCGCGTGTCACCCAACTGGGTCGACCTTAGGGCCTCTGATGGTGTGGATGGCAATGATACAGGGGGGGAAATCGAGTTAATGAAGTATTTCATACCTTTGTATTGCTCCTGTTCCTCTCAAGTGATAATTAAATTGATGCCCCTTTGTCCTTTTTGGAGAGGGCGGGAGTGGGGGCGGGGAGGGTATTGTGCCGGCAGAGAGCATCCTCTTACTAACTTTAAGGCATTCACTACTTGTAGGGAAACTTAGACCCAGAGCCAGGTACCTTTGGAGATGCCTGGGGCACGCTACTGATGGTGATCACTGCACAAAACCAGTACCCTTGGAGATCATAAGTGCTGTGAGCCTTTCTCTTATGGAGATTAGCTCCATCAGACAGGAAGTGTGCATGGCTGGAAGGGAGTGGAGGAGCAACCGGGACATTTGTGTTGATTCTCTATGGTGAGATTGGTGAAGAGTAGCTTTTTGTTGTTGTTGTCGTTGTTGTTTGTTTTTTTCTTTGTGCCTGCTCCAAGGCTTGAAGTGTCCCTTAGCTTTCATCCTCCACCCTAGAACTCTACCTGAGCTGGTTTCAAACTGTGTTCCTCACAACTCAGCCTCCTGAGTAGCTAGGACTACAAGTGTGAGCCATGTGCCAGGCTAAAAATAAATTTTCACTCTCCAGTGTCTTATAACATTCTATCTTTAAACTCATTCTCCACTTTTTTGAACAATCTATTTTTCTTTTTAGTCAGAAGCCCAATAGTGTTGGCAAAGTGTAAAAGTTATTTTCATTCCTTTCCCATCTATGTATATTATTCTGGATAACTCACATCCAGTGCCACAAATTATTTTGTCTATCACAGTTCCTAATAAAACCTATAACCGAGTGTTATATCTAAAAAGGATAGTGCCTGGCACCCGAATTCAATGCAATAACTTAGAATATGGCAGACAATGTGGTTCTAAAGGGCATCAAACATCAGACAAAGCAGAAATAGCTATTCACAAAACAAATATTGATTCTCTAGTAGATGTCATGGAGTACAGTTGGATAACACAGACATGGTCTCACCATAGCAAATCATAAGTAAATGAAATAGACAAAAAAAAAAAAAAGTACTTCCAGGGCTGGGAAGATGGCTCAGTGGTAGAGTGCTTGCCTTGCATGCCTGAGGCCCTGGGTTTGATTCCTTAGCACCACATGGCAAAAAGAAAAAAAAAAAAAAGGACTTCCAATGCAGTGTGTGACTACTTTGCACCAAAGCCTCTTGCTTAACATGAATCCTACATTCTGCTGCCACTACACACACATGTGCAAGAGTTTGTGAGTAACAGACATAGCCTTTTCAAAAGACCTTTGTGGCTCAATGGAAGAGCACTTGCCTTGCATGCATGAGGTCCTGGGTTCGATTCCTCAGCACCATCACAGCAGAAAAACACCGAAGTGGCACTGTGGCTCAAGTGGTAGAGCGCTAGCCTTGAGCTGAAGAGCTTGAGGCCTGCACCCAGGACCAGAGATCGGGCCCCAGGAAGGACAAAAAAACAAAAGCCTGTGTGGCTTTTCTAGAATGCCTGTCACTTTCTTACTCCCTTTTCCTCTTTTATAACCTGTTCTTCCACCATGTTCCTGCTTAAATAAAATTCTCCCCTGAAGCCTTGTAGTTCCCAACCACCTTGTCCTTGTAGAGTCCCCACAATTCGTGGCAGGGGCCGGGGGGCGAGGGGGGTGTTTGACGGTAGTGAACTATGGATTTACATATTCCACTCGAGGCTGGCCCTCTACCACAAACTACAGCTCCACTTTTGGCTTTTTGGTAAATAATTTGATATAATTGTCTTATAGACTTTCCTGTCCAGACTGGCTTCAAATTATAATCCTCAGATCTCAGCTTCCTGAGTAGCTAGGATTACAGGCATGAGCCATTTCTCCCAGCCTGTACTTTATTTAAATGTCCCTACTAGTATAAAATTGATACTGTAATTTATTTATAGCATCTCTCAATAGTTGAGCTCCTTACTATTTAGCATAACAAGTAGTGCAAAGTACCAGGATTCTGTAAATATTTGATATGTCAGTCTAAATGTCTTGGTGCAGCATTATACTGCAGAATAAGAATACTATTTAATGTTATTAAAATTACATATTCCTCAAAACAGACTAACATTGGCCTAATAGGATTATATTCTCTTGAGGCTCCACTTGTTTTGTTCAATATAGTAATCTCAAGGTACATGGGAATTTTAATTTTTTAATGATTAAATGAAATTGAAAATGCATTGTTTCAGTTATACTAGCTATATTTTATTTTATTTTTGCTGTTGTTACTACTTCTTGGGTTTGAACTCAGTGTCTGGGAGCTGTCTCTGAGCTTTTGTGCTCAAGGCTAACATTCTACATTTGAGCTATAGCATCACTTCTGGCTTTTTTTTTTTTGTAGCTAATTGGAGATAGAAATTTCACTGGCTTTTCTGCCCAGGCTAGCTTTGAACCATGATCCTCAGAGATTAGCCTCCTTAGTAGCTAAGATTACAGGTGTGAGCCATCAGCACCCAGCTCTATACTAGCTATATTTTAATAGTCATATTTCTGGTTTGTGTCTCTTGTATAGGAACAGTATACACAAACATTTTCATCTCAGAAAATTTTACTGTAGAACTTTGATTTAGATCTTTGATCGGCTATGTTTAATTAGACTTTGAACTCTTGTGATTTAATCTCCACCTGATTGTCATGTATTCCAATTGCATATTCATTGCTTTTTCTTTTGGTTGTTGTTATTAGCAGTACCAGGGTTTGGACTCAGGACCTCATGCTTGCTAGTCAGACACTCTACTACGAGTATATCGATGGACCACCATCCACATATTTTAGGGTTTCCACAGTTGCCATGATTATAGACATATGCATTAATGTCCTGTTTTTGTCCATAAATACAGATATCAAGGTCTGCTTGAGCAGGATTCTTCCAATCCCAGCATCCAATGTAGTTTAGGGTGACAGGCATGTTCCACTGCACACAGCTATGACTTGAGGAATCTCATGAACTACTCTTTCCGGACTGATTGAACCATAACACTCCTATTCTTCAAAATGCCTAGGTTTACAGATGTAAACAGATGCAAACATTGATACCTGTTATATGTATAGCGGTTTTGACTAGGGAAACAGCTTTTGAGTAGGTGATATTTTAATGTTGGCCAATTTATAATATAGTGGAACTGTGAGCAATCTAGTGCATGAGAAGAATAGAACAAAATCCAAGTCATCATTTTATAGAAATTGGAAAATTCTTCTGAAGAATGAGCTTTGTGTAAATGTTGGGAGTGGGAATTTCATTAGGTATAGAAATTTGTAAGAGCTGTTACCGTGTCTTGAAACCTAAGTTGAATTTTGATGTGGAAATATGATGCAAATAATTGATTGGGTCTTTAGGTACATGAGATCCATTATTTGTGACACACTATTAAACTCACTTTAAAATTTGTTTCTAGTTGACACAAAAATAAAAAATAAAACCATGTTCATTGCAGCATTGTTTACCATAGCTAAGATAACCCAGATGCCCCTCAATGGGCAAATGGATCAAGGAAATGTGGAATATGTACACAACAGGATTCTATGCTTTTGTCAGAAAAAATAATATTGCCCCTTTCGTAAGGAAATGGAAATATTTGGAAAAAACTATACTGAGTGAAGTAAACCAGACCTATGTTTTCCTCATTTGTAATAATTAGAATGTGCTTATAAATCTACAAGTAAACCCAATAGATAGTAAAAGACAAATAATTACACTTTGACATGATTAATCAAATCAAACAGTATTCTAAACATTCACACAGTGACACCAAAGGAGGATATTCTTAGGAGAGGACCATAAGACCCAAATAACTCTGTGCATATGACCATATAAAATGATGCTTATCAAAATGAACTCCAAGAAATGGTAGCAAGACATTTTTTATTGTACTATTTGCCATTCTTTTTTTTTCCATTCCTTTTTATTTGGTTTATTCCCTATTGTAGCTGCATTTGATTTCTCTACCCTTTGTCTTGTATTTAAGTCTATCTGAAGGGAAACACAGAAATTGTGTGACAAAGGGTGAACCAATTCAGCAGTGATACTGACTAGACACTATGTTAGAAATAAACTAGAAAACTTGGAGAGAGGAGAGACAGGAAGGGAAAAAGCTGAGAGAAAATGAGGGACTAAGTGACTGTTCAAAAGGAAATGCTCTCATTATCTAACTTATTTAACTGTAACTCTTCTGTACATCACCTTTAAAATAAAATTAAAAAAATAAAGACCTCAGCCTTGCACTGGTGGTTCATACTAGTAATCCTAGCTACTAAGGAGACTGACAACTGGAGGACTGCAGTTTGAAGCCAGTCTGTGCGGAAAAGTCCAAGAGACTCTATCACTAATCATCCAGCAAAATGCCAAACTGTACGCATGGAAGAGTGCCAATTGAGCAAGCAAAATGAACATGAGTGCAAGACCCTGAGTTCAAGTCCAGTATTGACAACAAAATAAAACAAATAATAAGATCTTAAAGAATTATACACAAGGGCTGGGAAGGTGGCTCAGTGGTAGAGCACATGCCTTGCATGCCTGAGGCCCTGGGTTCGATTCCTCAGCACCACATAAGCAAAAAGAAAAAAAAAGCCGGAAGTGGTGCTGTGGCTCAAGTGGCAGAGTGCTAGCCTTGAGCTGAAGAGCTGAGGGACAGCGCCCAGGCCCAGAGTTCAGCCCCCACGACCGGACCCCCAAAAAAAAAGAATTATACACAATAATATTTACTATATGATGTTTGA